TTAATTATTTTTAATAATATGTGGAAATCTCCACTTTTACCTGAAGACGGTCGCGAGACCAGAAACACGTGTCGTAAAATTATGTAAAACAAAGCATAATATTTTTTCTAAATAAATCCACATTACAACCAAAAACGTTAGCGGCACCTCTCTTCTCTTCTTTTAATATATATATATATATATATATATATATATATATATATATATATATATATATATATATATATATATATGTATAAAAACAAATCTATAGATTTATCTGACGTTGATACACGAATTTTAAAATTGATCGTAAGATAAAAACTTGGAATATTTTTTTATTGCCTAAAATTCTACATATACATACATACCTACATACACACACACACACACACACACACATATATATATATATATATATATATATATATATATATATATATATATATATATAAGATGAAATTAATGGATGTGAACAAATATCAAATTAACATAAAACGGTACATTTATTCATAAACTCACTGGCCAGTTCACCATGATGATCCCATGTGATGAAACTTTGGTAGCTAGTACCTGGCTCATTAGGATTGATTTATTTTACCTTTGCTCTACCTAGCGTATTGATCTCTCTTCGGTTTAACTTATTACTCGCTGTTTTTTTTTTCTTTGTACCAAAAATATAAAAAACTGGACTTTTTTTTTTCACCCTTTTCGGAAGTTCCTGGTTCTTTTTTTTTTTTTCCAAATATTTTCTTCGGATGCCAATTTGTTTGAAAATTGTGCTGTCCAGACTTTTTCACCCATCGAGTTTAAATAGATTTACATACACACACACACACACACACACACACACACACACACACACACACACACACATACATATATATATATATATATATGTGTGTATAAAATTTAACAGACCGAAGGAAACGAATATTTAGACAAAAAAGATAAACATTGTCACTACGATTACACGATGGGATATAAACGATTCGACGACCCACCATATATATATATATATATATATATATATATATATATATATATATATATATATATATATATGGGTGGTCGTCGAAAATCGTGTAATCGTAGTGACAATGTTTTTGTTTTTTTTTTAATCTTTGAATACCCGTTTCCCTCGGTTTGTTAAAATCGGAGTTATTCAATATTCAATCCGGGGATTGTTACAATAAAGACTTTCTAACTCAATAGCAATGAAAAACGACTTGTATTTTTTTAATTGTAATTTTCAAATCCATAAAAGCTACCTGTGAAATTTACTTTCGTTCTGCCTATTCACTTATCCCTCCCCGCTTCTATCTGTTCCTGTATATATATGTACATATCTATATATCAGTGTTGACAGCAGTGTCAACTTTTATATTTACACACATTCTATTCTTGATGTTGAGTACTATTACCCATAAATATAGCACACTTTAAAACTATTTTTAATATATACATACATATATATATATATATATATATATATATATATATATATATATATATATATATATATATATATTTTACACACACGCACACCCACACACACACACACACACACACACACACACACACACACACACACACACACACACACACACACATATATATATATATATATGTTAAATCTGCCGGTAGTTGTACATGTCCGAAGTACCTCAAGGCACAAAAGTGGCAGTCACCATGCAATGTTGATTCCCATGTCAAAACTCACACTCTCTGTCACTATCACTCGTTCTTTCACTTTCTCTTTCTCCCGCGTTCCCTTTCTCTCTCTTTTCTATGCATACATACATATGATTCGCTAAAAAAAAAAACAAAAAAATTAAAAAAGTAAACGCCGACAAGGGTATTTTTAAAAATAATTTTTTTCAGGTATTGATTCGTTCTTATGTTTTTAACGTTTTATCAATCATTTGTCAGTTATTTAAATCCCAAGTATATTTTCGATCTTAGCCTACAGTACATTCTGAAGTGTTTCCCTCATAAAAGCACTGACAAGAGTCGAGTATGATTAATTTAGGTGGTCTAACTAGAACCGATGTTTTCAGTATCATTTTTATCTTAATGGTTTTGAAAGAAGCAACCATCGGAATTACATCAGTAAATTAATATCAAGAATAGTAATCATATAAGATTTTTACAATCACCTCTCCTTCCGGTTGGATGTAACATCCGTGAAACTCTTTGTAGGTACAAGATAAGTGAACATTTTTATTTTAATCAGACATATTTTTAACCGTTTACAGAAATATATATATATATATATATATATATATATATATATATATATATATATATATATATATATATATATATATATATATAAAGGACTGATATTTTAATATTTTAATTTTTTTCAATATTTATTATTGTTTAAATCTTAAAACATATATATATATATATATATATATATATGCATGTACATATATGTATACCTTTATATATATATATATATATATATATATATATATATATATATATATATATATATATATATGTGTGTGTGTGTGTGTGTGTGTGTGTAACTCAAGGACTGACCAAAATTAACGACAAGAAACAAATGAAAACTACTGATAAAGTTCATTTTTTCAGAAAGTCATTCATTCATGTAGTTCACTGCTCTTAACAAGCAGCAATTTTTTCTCCTGATGATGGCTATGCTGGTCAGAAACTAGTCGAGGAACCTAATTAAAAAATAATAAAACAAAAAAAAATATTAATATACAACCCAGTGTGTTTGAAAATTTTAATATTTCTATTTTTTTCAATATTTTTATTTTTAAGATATATATATATATATATATATATATATATATATATATATATATATATATATATATATATACCAGTTATGAAGACCATCGGTATATAAACATCCTTCGCTTTACATCTATTACAATGGACTTACTACATGTGGAGAGTTTACGATTTGATCGAACGCCGCATCAAAACTGTTAAAACCCCATATATCTTTAACATATAATAATGGGTGTAATTTGGGATAATAACTTTTTTTGAGCGAGTATACTATAACGTTCCTTTCAGCGGCTAATATACTCGTTATTAGGTATGAAAATATATTTAATGATTCCGACACGCGTTGTTGATCAATCTACGAGACCCACTGAGGATGCTTCTTCCTCGCTACTCTTAGACATTGTTTTGTTGTCGTTCTCATATAGCGTGATGAGTTGATAGTTCTTAATTCAAACTTTGTTTGGTACAAGGTAACAAGTACAGAGCATCCAGTAATGACCGAAATCAGCCATGCCCTAAAAATGGTATGCTCTACTTTTGCGTAATTTATATGCCTTCAGAAGCTTTGTTTTTTTTGTAACTTTTATTTTTAATTTTTGAAACTCTTTAGAAATCTACAAAGTTATAGTTATAATCAGAAATCTATCTATCTATCTATCTATCTATCTATCTATCTATCTATCTATCTATCTAAGTTAATTCGTGTCTGTCTATCTGGATGCGTGGGTGTGAGTGTGTTGTTTGTATTTGTCTGTCTGTCATGTGTATTCCTCTCGTTATATGTACTAAAATATACAAACAATGTTATGCTGCGTTTATGTGTGTATTCAGCTTTGTTTGTGCCAGGAACCGGTACTAATTTGAAGAAGATTTAGCGAATAAAAACAAACGAAAATAGAAAAAGAAACGAATCACAAAGGAAATGATAAGTAGATAAATAAAAATGCCACCTTCTTAGCAAAAATACTGCCGTCTTAACATGACCGATAATATTTTAAAAAACGTAAAAAAATGTAAATGGATATATTAAGAACATTGCGTACCTATATAGAAAGACAGCAACAGCAACAACAATAATAATAATAAATATATATCTTTCGTAAATGGAGCACAAACAGGATATCACTTTCAGACGGAAGAAGCTTTTGAACATGAGAATTTTCCATCTCTTCCCTACGTAGGTGATCATGTCTCTCCCCAGCTTCCATTACCATAATATCTGTAAAGTGTCCATTGCCTTGTTTTTTTTGTGTTTTTTTTTTTTTGATAATTGGAAAGACGTTTGTTTGGTTTTCTGTTACGTTCTCCACAGACTTGAATTAATTTCTCCTAGATTTGTAATCAGTCAAGGCTATAGAGCGAAGTCTACACTACTATGTAACTTATGAAGATTAGACTGCAAAAACACACACTTTAACGACGGATTTAGACTCTGCAGTGCCGGAGACGGCGAGAGTGAAAAAGTCGATAAAGATTTCAAGAGACATAATTGTCTGTGACTACCACCAGACATTTGATGTGAATGCATAAATAATAATAATAATAATAATAATAATAATAATAATAATAATAATAATATGAAGTCATCCAGGCGTCAGATTTGTCAAAATGCTATCATTTAAGTTTAAGTGAAAACGGTCGGTTATTTTGGGATTGAAAGGCACATGTTAATGAAATCATATCCATTCAAAAGGTGAGATTTAGTGTTTGTAGATAAGGAAATGAAGTCGTGTAATATTGGATATAGATGATCCCATATAATTCAGAGGGAAACTGAAAGCATGGTAGAATATTAAGAACTTGCTTGATAACTGGAAAAAAGAAAGAAAGAAAGAAAGAAAGAAAGAAAGAAAGAAACGGAAATAGTCGAATACGACAATAAATGTATTCTTCGGATCAGTTCCAAGAATCACTGTAAGGAGGTTTCAAAAGAAAGAGGTCAGAGGTAAAATTTAAACTATTCAGACTTCAAATTGTCAAGAATACTGAAGACAATCACAGAGATTTGGAAGACCTGAAGGCTTTTTGTATTCGGACCGATTGCCATTAGATGCCACTGTTTTGATGAAAATAAATAAATACATACTAAAAAAACATTGGAAAAAATGGGAATCTAATTAAGAACAGTAACATATGAAATTATCGAATTACAAAAACCAAATAGAATATTGAGGAAAGTCTTGGAATATTGGGGGAAATATATTGTCAATTAGTTACCGGTAAAAGTCACCTGTTATTGACTGGGTGAAAATTCAGTCATAATAGTGTGTAATAATTGGCAGGTTTCAGACAAGCCATAGAAATAATAACGCAAATCGTGCTTCCACGACCTGCACACGTGCTCTATCTATCTATCTATCTATCTATCTATCTATCTATCTATCTATCTATCTATCTATATAAGTCGTTTCATAACATATTTATTTATCTCAGTATATTCCTATCTATCTATTCCAGTGTGTTCCTATCTATCTATCTATCTATCTATCTATCTATCTATCTATCTATCTATCTATCTATCTATATAGTAGTCTCTGTGCAGCAGATATCATCCTTCACACACACACACACGTATTTATTTATATATATATATATATATATATATATATATATATATGTGTGTGTGTGTGTGTGTGTGTGAGTAGAGTATCACCACGTTTTCAACTTCAACACACTATTTTTACAATCCAAATAGCCAACATCATAGTGGATGGGCTGACCGTGGCGTATTTCATTTCGTGGGTACAAGCCCACCCGGAACGTGGATTATCATAAACATCGCTTTGGTCGCTGCTGAAATGCTTAACCCACCGCATAACTGTGCTCACATCAACTCTTAGGTCTCCTTAAGCATTCAGCAGGTGTCGATGTGTGTAATTTTTTCCCCACATGGAGCAATTCATTGGTGCACATCTGCTTTGTACACATTTTCATGTCAGACACCATTTTACCAGAATTTAGCTCAGCTACTACCTGTAACAAGGCAAGCAACAAACAATAAACGGAGAAAAAAAAGAAAGAAAAACATGAAAAAATGTGGGTTATTGGCGGGAAGCTTCCCTATCTTTTACCACTCTGCCACAAACATTCAACTCTGATATCGTATGCTAATATAATAAATTAGGAGGTATTACTTTCGGAGCAACCCTAGTATATTAAAATTATTTATACTGTATCTTGAAATTCATCTATACAGATTATATATCTAGAACAATGAGACGTCTACACATGTGAACTACGTTTAATTTGGTTTTTCTATATACATATAAGTGCAAACATTTGCAATATATATATATATATATATATATATATATATATATATATATATATATAATCATATAAATTCATACACTGTTTATGTATACATAGTTACACAATCAGACACTACATGTCCATATTTTACCCACTTCAGTTTCGTACATCTCCGTAAACAAGCTATCATGACCCAAGTGAACACATGCAGGTTATATGCGCGTTCATTTGTTCTTTAGTCGACATGACAAATATATGAATGTTTATATGAAGTAACGTGATGTACTTTTGATCGACTGCATACAAAATCCTGTGAACACATCTGCTAAATACTAAATGCACATTTTTCGTCCTTTCCTTGTTGTATATGAGAGTATATAGTGGGATCTACTACTACACAGTTTGGGCGAATACAAACGGACAGACAACTGAACGACTGTCCGTAAACCGAAGACGTCAGACGACGAAAAACAGCAGTAGCACACAACAAACCACCCTTCTCGATAAACGGAGATATTTCACTTACCTTTAGACATGTAAAAAAACACCATCCTAATTTGCTGGGAATGTTAAAATATGTATGTAAATAAAGAGCTATAGATCTTCTTTTTTTTTTACTTTTTTCTTTTTTTTTTTTTAAATATATAGTCCTTTTTATGTATGTGAGTGCATGTGTGTATGTATATCTATATATACGTAAGTATATATAAATATATTTTCTTTTCAAAGGAATTTCATTAATACAATACCATTTGAATCAGTGTGTATATAATTTTGTATTTCTATGTTTGCATATGAGTGCGTTCTTTTTTATGAATGTGCGTATGTGTGATAAGTCATTTAAGAAAAAAAATATTTAGCTCCGTTTTCGAAATATTAATAGCGTGGTTAAATGTAATAATTTTTCAGTGAGTGTTAAGGTATATGGGTAAGTTGTTTGTCATTCATACCAGCTAGATGTCTACAGTTATTGTTAGTACCATTTTTTTAGTCCTTAATAATAGCGAGCTTTTTAGCATCTGTACAGGCGTGGGTTATACTCAATACTAGCACTGGCTTTACCAGTGCAATGATGATGCTATTGGGTAGCTGATGCCGTGCTTGGTATTGTAGCTGCTAGTGTATCGTCGCAGGCAAGGAGAAAGAGAAAAACAAAAGACGGGACTAGAAGAGGAGAATGAAGATGCACAAAAGAGAGAGAGAGAGAGAGAGAAGTTATTATTATTATTATTATTATTATTATTATTATGATTATTAATATTAGTATTATTAATTTTTTTTTGTTTTTTGGAGAGGGATGGAGTAATGGTAAGAGGAAAGAGTGTCGAGAGTCAAGCGCTTATGGGAGAGCACTCATGTGGATGGTACTGCATCTCTTTTCTGTATTCCCTTTATGCTTCAAACGCGACTGCTACTACTGCTGACGCTATGCTGATAGAGATGCTGCTGTACAAACGAACGTGGAACTGTGTGAGCGACACGCTTCTTCTTTGTGCGTGATTGTATGCAAAGGCAAAAACGAGTGTAATGCTGTGTGTACTTGTGTGTGCGTAAAGTGATAACGCTGCCGTAGTGCCACTTACAAGTCAAAAATGAATGATTATTGAAATAGTCATATCGTAAACCATTCCCTAGTGGACAACATATATATATATATATATATATATATATATATATATATATATGTGTGTGTGTGTGCGTATATGTGTGTGTGCGTATATGTGTGTGTGCGTGTGTGTGTGTGTGTAATTTCAAATTTATATTCTGAAGTGAAAATGAGACTGCTGTAACCGGCATCAGAAATTTAAATGAAATCGGAGAACAGGTTCGAATTCTAGCTGAGTTTGTTTATGGTTTACACACACACACACACACACACACACACACATATATATATATATATATGCATGTATATGTATATAAAATCATAAATTCATACGCTGTTTATGTATGTGCGTAGAGTGATAACAAAATACAAAATATATATATATATATATATATATATATATGTATATATATATATATATATAAATATATATATATATATATATATATATATATATATATATATATATATATATATATATATATACATGTGGATGGATATATCAGATATGAATAATCAATAATGTACAGTTTTATGATTTATATCGATCAAACTCCACATACGCATACTTATATATGTGTAAGTATGGATATATTAAATCGTAGTAAAAATGTCACAAAATGTCTATCGTTTTAAAAATATTTTCCTTAAAGAACAGCTTACCAAGATATCAACACACAAAATTTCTGACGAAGCCTAGTCGAAAAGCTAATTCAACTTTTAAACAGATTAAAGAACTCATAATGGCTACTTTTTTTTCCGAATTGAATATCGAGGAATTTCTGACGGAATTTCATCCTTGTCTGAGTAGGATTATTTGTAATTTGGTAAAGTCGATCATTTAAAATTAATCAACACAAAATGTCTGTTGTTTTTAACATATATATATATATATATATATATATATATATATATATATATATATATATATATATATATATATATATTTACAGGTGAAATCTTGATACTTTAGAAACATACATAATGTATAAGGACGCAATATTTGAAAAAAAAGGTGATAAAACAGTTATAGCACAAAACATACAATCACCAATATTATCAAAAAATCCTGAAATACTCGAAGGTTTGAAAATTTATATCCAAATTTTCACACGCACTTTCGTTTATTTGGCATTGAACTTGCCTAACTTTTTCCGCTAAGCTGATGAATATTCATGTGCATTGTTATGCCCACAATTTTTGGAAAACCAATAATACATCGTTTTATTTAATTTTCATGATTTTCTTTAAATGTATCATATGTCTAAATTAGACTTATTCCTGGACAGCTTCCTGTTCTTTATCCTTTATATTTTATCCTTTTTTGGATTGTTAAATCTTTTCACTAACTTTTTGTAAGTTAATTTCTTTTGAACTTAACTGGATATATTCCATTATTACGTGATTTAGCCTGTTAATTCCTGGTTTTGGTACGGGTACCTCTAACTTGACTTCCATTAGCACCACGACACTCTCGTGCACAATGTCAGCGGTGACGCTACAGGATAACATGAATTAATGAATTGAATTCTATTGTGTTCAGGTTTTGTTTTACGGCATATCAATCTCAGTGGGTCATTTAATGCCGACAAAAGTTTGAAATAGATTCATAGTGATAGTTTGGTAAAAAAAAAGATGTGTATGGTTTGGTTTGGTTTGTTTTACGGTATATCAACCTCAATGGGTTATTTAATGCCGACAAAATTTTTATTGCTGGTAATATGTTTTTCTTCAAAAATCTATTTCTGGGAATATTTTTCCTTGAAGAAATCTATGGCTGGTAATGTTTTTTTTTCAAAGAATGTATAGCTCTTTGTATTGCTGGTACTTGTGTTTTTTTTGTTTTTTTTTTAAGTATTGCTGATAATAATTTTTCCTTTAAAAATTATTGCTGGTAATAATTTTTTTTAAAGTATTTCTGGTATTAAAACCTATTTTTACACAAGTTTGGGTGTTAACTATTTGCCCATAGCTGGGACCCTAACAGGTGTTACCACCCCGGGTCAGGGTGGACTTGGGAACACCAGCAATTAAGAGGAAGTTCCACGCTCCTCAAAACCTCCTGAGCAGAGGCCTTGCTGCTGGACGTAGTTTATCGTCTTAACCAGGACGCTGTAGTGTTCAGTAATGTGAGCATTCCCTACGTTCATTCCAGTGATTTTTGATTGTGTATGCGACGTACATTTGGGGAGTGGCATCGTCGAGAATGTTTTCACTCTATGCACAGTTACATCGGCTGGTTCCATTGTGTACGATGTTATATGTTAGACCCATTGCTTGCGTTTGGTGTTTTGATTAGCGTCATGTACGTTCCAGAATATTGTTCAAATGATTCTGCTGCTATTTTGGCAACAGGAAGGCGTTTAATCTTCCAGTTGCATAATGCCAGCCCAACCTGTGCCTGTGATACTGAACTTGCTCTGTATAATGATCAGCAATTTCCCTCGTCGGGACGATCGCTAAACCGTCCTCCCATTTAACGTATGCACTTTATGGTGGGACAATGAATGAATCGGTCAATTTGCTCACCTATAATTCATGCTGCATTTCGTTAACAGGTGCAAAAGGCGTAAAATAATTTCCTAAGATTATTTGCATTCACCATGTGCACGATCGTATATATGGAGGCGTACAGGCCTATTTAATGCCAAAATATATTTTCTTAGATTTGGTACGAGGCCCGAAAGTATGGGGCACCCAGAGAGGATCAAACTCACTATTTAGTCTTAATTGATTTAGAGAGACAAGCTTGCCAACCATTACACCACCGGGAGGTACCTAAAATATATTTTCATATGTGGTATACATGTTAATTTGAAAGATTTTCCCCTATCGATCTGCGCATGTGATGATTCACTGAATACAATGTATATTATTTTATTTTCTCCCGTACGGTATACATACATACATACATATATATATATATATATATATATATATATATATATATATATATATATATATATATATATATATAAAGTGAACATAAAGTCAACACTTAGGGCGACAGTCTGTTTCATGCTAGACACAATCGGTGGCCTGTTGATTCCATCTAGCTTGAAACAGCCTGTTGCATCTAAATGTTGACATGTGTTCACTATATTTATACACTCTATCTCTGATATTGAGCACTTTATCCCAAATATAGCACATCTTAAGACTATCTTTCTATCTATCTATCTATATATATATATATCTATATATATATATATATATATATATATATATATATATATATATATATATCAGATCTGCTCTTGAAAAGGACTTCAGATCAGTTGTTAACGTGCAAGAAATTTCTTGTTGATGTAGCATACCTACGGATGATAATGGTTAAGTCCACATTCACATGAATACAGTAGTAAATACTGTATGTTAGTCTGCAATTGGAAATTCATTGTGGAATTCACGTGACTCATTTCTAGCAGTTGACTACTTCTACGCGCCACTGGCGAATCTTATATGTGTTGTTCTTGTTCTAAGTATTATCGTTCATTACAACCGTCCTTTGACTATTCTATTCAGTAACCTTCCCTAGGTTACAACACTTGTAGATTTTAACACCTCCCGACCGAAACTGCTTTCATTTAATCCCCACAGAGAACTGTTCTGTCTACCAGCAGCATGGCTAATGCAAAACTCCAAGGGAGTAACACTCTATGTCTTCTTGGAATCACGTTCTTCACTGATATGAAGTGGAAAGATTCTCTTCAAACAACTGCTATGTCTACAAGGAAACTTCGTTCAATGTCTCGTGCCAGAATTTTTTCTTGTCAGAATCCATCTTGCAAAATTATATATCTACCATTCATCCGTGCATTGAATGCTGCAGTGTAATCGATCCTGACCTGGCATGTCAAATTCAGTTAATATCTCACCGAACTGACGTGCCTTCCATCTGTATTTTATATAAATATATTCATGGTAACTGTTGTGATGAACCTTTTTTTCTTTCGAGTCTCGACTGCACGAATTCAAGCGCAGTACTAGATTGGCAAGTAGGTTTCACTGTTTTACTGTTGAATTAGCCATTTCTATTTTAACAGCTTCTTTTCTTGCAGTTCTCATCTGTTGAACACCCTTCAGATTTCTTGCTTCGCCGACACCTACAATCGTCAAATATTTCAATCCAACGTCAATCGCCATCTTCTGTCTTCCTGAACCCTGTTCCTTTATTGTTCTCTTTTGACTTGTCCTTGCTAAATTTTTCTCATTGTCTTTCATTTCTTGTAACCCCTGCATCCTTGCTTAGAATGAAATTATGATAGAGAGTGCATCTAATGTCTCTTTACAATTTAAAAAATATGTTACAAAGGTCATTGATGAGATATCTAAAACAGATTTGTTTTATGTACTTAGTAGTTATCAAAGTTTTTAATCATACTGCACTTGTGTATTTCAGGTAACCTGTTTATGAAAGAGGTGCTGTTAAATGAACCCCTAAAAATGGTTATTCCTCAATAAAAGACACAATGTGTGCCATGGTTTATTGAAACAAAATCGGATACGTAGACACAGCGAAACAAGAGAACTTCTTTCTATTGGGTTATGTTATATAAATTGTGTATCGAACAAAGAAAGAGGACAAAGCAAGAGATCACTGATGCCATTGTTACCTATGTTACAGCGGACATGGTAAAAGATCGATTACCGTCTTGTTAAAAAATCTTCAATATCTACGCCTAATTTTGTAACAATTTCCACATATTTGTCTGTTTATTTGCTATTGTAATATTTTTTTAAATTGTACAGAAACTTTTCCATGATTATCATTTCTTACATTGAAATCGTAATCACGATTCAATTCATCAGACCTACAAATTCAAGAAGAAATCGGAAATTCGGTAGCGAATTATGCATCGAAAAATAATTCATATTTATCTGTATCTCACGC